ATTGATATTTTAGTTGAATTTAATTGACATTTTTCCTTTTTTTAATACATTTTTTCATCTTTTTTCTTACTAAATCTTTTTCTCACACTTCCCCCTGTTTGCAAGGATTCATTTGAACAATAGAACACTACATATATAAATTAATTTTAACTAATAAAATTTTTTTAAAATCATAAAATTCAATTATTTAAATATTATAAGAAAAATAGAAGGAGTATAATATAAAAACTCTAATTAACATGGGTAATAATAATAAAATTTTTATAAGATACATTTCAGAGTCGTTTGAAGTGTGCCACTTCCCCCTGTTTATAAGCATTCATTTCAACAATATAAAACTACATTTTTACATATTTATTAATTTTAACTAATTAAAAAGATTTTTTAAATCATAAAATTCAATTATTTAAATATTATAAGAAAAACAGAAGGAGTACAGTGTAAAAACTCTAATTAACATGGGCAATAAATGGGGTAACTTGATTGTTTCTGATCCTCTGTGCGGGATCCCCTATCCAAATTAGTTTTGCCAATAATCTCTATAAATTGTCACACAAGTTAAATTTAGTGATACAAGGAATTAATTGTGCATTTGTATTCGAGTGAAAAGTACGATTTTTCCCAAAACATGTTATGCTTTGGTGTTATTTGGTATTAATTCACTCCTTAATATAAAAAGTCAGATAACTAGTATTAATATTAAGAAAATTAATTAAATTAGTTTTTTTAATTATGAGCATTATAACTAGGAGTATTTATTGATGAGAAATTCTTTCTTACAATATATAGTCAATATGGATGCTTTTAAAAGAAAAATTATGAACTCAGAAAAACAAAATAAATCAAAATCTTAAATTTAAAATTAAAAGAAATATTTTATGTAATCTTTATATTTAGGAATGGAAGATGATGTGGCAGGTTGTCTCCTCTGGTCACAAATATGCTGGGGGTTGTTTGGTGATCGTCATTATTGACGAATAAATATGATGCTTGGTCTATTGTGAGTTAATAGCCCAAAAAAAAGGTACGTTGCTCTTTTGCTGCCACATTGCTCATGTCCCGATCGAATTAAATGTCATCCACTATTATTTTTTAAAGAAAAAAAAGAATAAAATGCTTTATTTTCCTTTATAATTGGGGATCTAGTCAGTTCGAGAATATGTTTTGTTTGAAATATTAATTTTTTTATTATAACTTTTTCTAACTAATTAACTAATGCCGTCTAATTGATTATGTTAATTGAGGATAGTTTTAATCTTCTACAAGAAATAATTAATGTTAACTAATTTTATTAATTTATGTAAAATTATTATGAAAAGCTTATAATAAAGAGTGGAAGTATGATGCTTTTGATAGAATAATTTCCAACTCATGAAGTTTGATTTGTGAATATCAACCTAACAAATCAACAGGCATATGTTCGCCTTTGCAGCAATTCCTCTAAGGAAAAGAAAAGATGGGCAGAACTTTCTTCTTGTTTTTTCTATACAAAAAGAGTTTAAATGAATTGGGTTTTGAGAGCTTATTAGAACCGGATACATCTTCAGACTCATAAAGTATTTATAAAGGTTCTTATAAATCACCTATCGACAATGTTTTCATATTATCAGTGGGATTTGAACTTATTAGTAAGATTTATCTTGTTAAAATACCTACATGCTTCTCTCGATTAGATTCATGGTTTAGGTTTTTTAACAAGAGATGGGAGGAACAAGCTATAGCAATTTTTCATCAAAAAACATGAGTTTGTCTACATATAGTACTTGTTCTAAGTGCTTATTTCACATACGCCGATACAATTTTTTTTTATATATATTTATCTCGTATTTCATAAATTAGTATTAAAAAGATATTTATAAATCATTCTAAATAAGCCCTAAACAAAACTGCTTGATTGGTACTTTATCATATGTGGTGAGACATTTTCACTTTGCTTAACACTTTCTCCAATATCTATTTGGGACTGTGGAAACCTTTTTCTTCTTCTCATCATTTTTCTTTGTTTTTGTTCTTGCCCCACTTACTTTTCTGTTCTTGAGTTGTTGCTCACTATTTTAAAAAAAAAATTAAATTTTATATCATTTAAATAATAGACACATATAATTTGCTCAACATTATGATGTTAGAAATCCAAAAGCAAGCGGTGATCTTCAGAATATTGTGGGCATGAACTGTAAGGAGATATATTCACATGGGGCTTGATTCTCTGAGAGCATGTGATCAAGCTCAAAGGTTCTGGAACCTGGTGCACTAATCAAATACGTGTCGGACCAGCTTCTTATCAATTAAAGGAGAGATTTTTTTTTAAAATTTTTTTCCTGTACTTTGTAATTCTTCAATCTTAAATATAAGAATTGGATATCTAATTCATATAATTTAAACCAGTTATTCATAAATAAAAAATGCATATTAATTTTACCCATGCTTCTCATATTAATTATTCATATTGAAAATTACAAAGAAAGTCCATTTTTGTAAAATATCCGAGAGATAAAAACTACACGGATGCTTTATTTATCAAAAAGGTAAAGGCAAATAGTACTTAGTTGACTAATATGAAGAGATTAAAAAAAAAAGCTAAGGTAGTTATTTATAATAAATACATGTTATCTTTCCTAAAATATCCTTAATCAAATATATTGGCTTCAAGTACTATTAAAAGAAAGATTATCTTGAAAAAAAATATAAATATGAGAGACAAAGTGGATTGGGGTATTATAATTAGGATCAAAATAAAAATCAAACGAGATATTATATTAAGAGCAGAGGTAATATATGATAGTGGCAGTAAATTCGTTAACAGTAAATCAAGGATTATTTAGGAGGAACAAGTTGCTTCCCCTTAATATTATCAAGAATTTCTGACCATCGCATGAGAACAGGTTCATTTTTTAAGTATTTTTTTCTTAAAATGTTTTTACTGTAGCTTCCCTTATTCTTCCTTGTATTGAGCAGAATTAATGTTCGACAAAATTTATTAAAAAAAAAAATCCGCCTTTAATAAGAGTATGTGGATCACAACATGTTATTCTCCCAAGTTCCGAGTTTTAAAATGACCCACAATTCAGAATAGAATAGACGAGAATATTCAGATTCTGACCAAAAAAACAAAGACTAGAATATTCAGATTGAAAAAAATGGAATAGGATTAGTAGCATATATTGTTATCATAGAAATCAAATTCAGTGGCAATTGCTCCAGTGAATATCTTAACCAGAAGACACCACCATCTTCAGATGTTGCTTCCCTACAGGGCTTTTACAGGCCTTCTGTTAAAAAAAAAAAGTTCGTATTTCTGAAAAAAGAAGTTGCTGGGTGATGCTAAATTGCTAATCATGGGATGGATATAGTTAGAATTACTTATAAACAATTTTTTAATCATAATTTTAAAATCTTGTTTATAATTTACAAATAAGATTTTATAATTAAAACTGAAGGTAGAATGTAAAAAATATTTGTCCTAATTTTTACAAAACATGTTTATAAGCATTTATATATAATTGATTTCAAATGAGTGTTGAAAAGGGTGTTTAGATAGAAACCAAAGCATAATTTTAAAAATATTTTTACAGTTTACAAAATAAATATGTGAAAGAGTTTATCTCGTTTTGTAAAAAAGTACTTCTCAGAGGTACTTTTTCAATGTTGTCAAATACTCCCGAAACAAATGCCTCGGACCGTGGTCTCCTACTCTCCTTACTGAGACATACGGTTGGTAGTACACTGTTGTGTTTACGTTGGGCTTTATGTTGGTCTCACTCTTCAATGTTTGGGTTGCACTTAGTTTCGTTGTTCTCCACCATGCGGAGCTGATCCATGTAAGGAAGCCCATGACTTGTCACTCATGTATAGTTACTAATGTTGAACAATATTACCAACAGAATTAAATCTAGCAGAAGGGATTAGTTTCTGACAAAATAACAAATTAATATTCGAATCTCCACTAGGAGAGGCACACACATTTAGTGCTCAACAGTACCCTCAAATAGGATTGTTTCTAATAAGAGGATACCTATGCTTTAGCAAAAAAAATATTGAACAATATTGTCTTTGTATAAAAATAAAAATCAAAGTAAAATTGTAGCAAAAAATAAAATAAAAATCAAAGTAATAAAAGTTGAGTGTAGTGAGGGAGATTAGTCTCTAATAATGCGATAAACTAAAGCTCAAATCCTCACTAAGAGAAATACTCATATTTAGTGTTCACTTATGTTTTAAACAGAATTGTCCCAATAAAAAAATGTCTTTATAAAGAAAAAAAATCATAAGAAGACAATAGTAATCCAAGGAAAGTTAATTTGGATAATTAGTAATAATTTCTAAAATTAGGAGAAAACGTGCTCCAATGAGCCAAAATTCGTACGATTGAACCACTTTAAAAATTTTATGTGTAATTTTATACCTAAAAAAACTTATAATGTTTAGTGCCAGCATTTTAGGAGTAAAATTTTTTTTCCTAGCATTTTAGGAGTGAAATTTACACTTCAACCCTTTTTTTAGGAAAAACTGGGGATAAATCCCTCATTGAAAATTTAATTGGATCATTAAAAAAAAATTTAATTGGTAAATGGGATTTAAGGATTTTGTGCAACTTAACTTCTTTTTATACAACTTATCTTCCTTTGTGTGTAATATATCTTCCTTTGTGCGATGTGCAACTCAATTTCTTTTTGTGCAAATGAAATTTTTTTATGTGTAAATCATTTTCTCTATGCGCAAACTAATTCCTTATATCCAAATAATATTTTGTGCAAACTATCTTCTTTTTGTGCAACTTATCATCTTTATATGCAACTAATCTTTCCTTGTACAATCAATCATCCTAGGTCTCATTTACCAATTAAGTTTTTAATAGGGGATTTATCCCTAATTTCTCCTTTTTTTAATGTTTTAATCGCGGGTCAAAAGTCAGCAAGTCTTTTTCCCACCGCAGCACCAGCATCCACTAGATACTGGACAAGTATTTATACCACATAAGGAAAACATGGATAAATTTATCATTTTCCCGTTTTTAGATATTTCATGTTGAAGTTTAGTTGGAGATTGTGTTTGAAGGTTGATGACTCTTTCTTCTGCACATTCCATCTATACAATCTGCAGAGATGCAGCAGGAATCGCCGGTACTTCTCGTCTGTGTGTTAGTTTCTGGGTTTTTAACCTTTCGCTCATAAACCCGACAAAGAAAAGCCCCGTCTTCTGGGGATCAGTCCTTTAACCCATCGTTTTCCTTGACTTTATGCAGGGAACATATTTGCTTTGGGCTTGTTTGTTTCGCCCGTGTAAGTTTTTCTCTGGGATTTCTTGAGCACAGAAGAACTTGAAGAGCTTACTTCCTTACTTAAACCTTGTTCTTGTTTGAAATGCAGATCCACATTTAAGAGAATCAACAGAAATGGGTCAACAGAAATGTTCTCTGGGCTTCCTTATATTTATGCTCTGTTGAACTGCTTGATCAGCATGTGGTATGGCTCGCCTCTCGTATCTCCTGATAATATGATGGTCATGTCGGTCAATTCAATTGGAGCTGTGTTTCAGTTAGTGTACATAATTATCTTCATTGTATATGCAGAGGAAGCAAAAAAGGTTACTCTTCTGAAAACTTTTAAACTTGTATATGATGATACCACAAGACAATTAATTAGATTGTCATAATCTAAGACCTGCGATTTGGTAGGTAAGAATGATTGGATTGCTGCTGGCTGTTTTGGGGATATTCGCAATCGTAGTAACTGTAAGCTTGCAAATAATTAATCATTCAACGAGGCAAATGTTTGTGGGATTTCTGAGCAGTGCTGCACTCATATCAATGTTTGCCTCTCCCTTGTTTATAATTGTAAGTTTCAGGTGCGCTAAAATATCTATCCAAACAAGTATGAACACATGCAAATTAATCTTAAAAAGTATCTGCGTCTTAATTGAAAAGTATTCTTGCTTCATGGTATACATCAAATGTAAATTTTTCTGCATCATTCAGCTTAGTTCATTGACTTTGGTGGTGAATCCCAGTGTTTTTTTTTTCCTCCAGAAATTGGTGATACAGACAAGGAGCGTTGAATATATGCCATTTTATCTCTCTCTTTCCACCTTCCTAATGAGCACCTCTTTTTCTCTTTATGGATTGCTCAATCAGGATGCTTTCGTTTACGTAAGGTTCCTTTTCTTTTTGCAGCTGACTCTCATATGGGATTTATAATGTGCATGTAACATCACTTTGGCATTCATCTGTGTTTGATTTTTTAGGCACCGAATGGGGTAGGAACCATTTTGGGATTGATACAGTTGGTATTATACTTCTATTACAAGAGAGCATCTGTGGAAGAATGTCGAGAACCTTTGATAGAGCCATATGCATGACACATTTCGACAAGAAGTTAAAAGTCAGATACACATCTTATCTGTTCTTTCACGGCCTGTGATGAAATTACTGGGGGGCTTTTTGTTGTAAAATGCAATGCTCAAATGAAAGACAGTAATGGGGCATGCTGTTTGTGCGAATAAGAGGATGGAAATCCTTGTATTCGTAGAATGATATTCAATTATTCATTTCCACCTTGATGCTTGAAAGATAAAAGCACGCTGGCACTATTGCTTCAAGAAAGTTATTGGACAAGACTTTTGGGTGAGCAGTATTTCTAAAGAATGCGTGTACTGTAATTCACGTAGCTGATTCCATCTAGTGGAGTAAGGTTTATTATTGTTGTTGTATTACTTTGAAACAAAACTAAAAATTATTTGTTCTATCCTTTGTGTTCGACAAATCTTCCAGTGCCTGTATATATAGCTTTATTTCACTTTTGCGTAAATATTAAGTTATCAGAAATCATTTAAAAAGAATCTGAGCCCATCTACATTCAAGGCAATTTAAAACCTGCATGAGTCGCATTTATATTTTAGTCTCTGATCTAGATTGAATGCTATGGTTACTTCATAGATTCTAAATTAGTCTCTTGCCTTTTGAAATTTATGGTGAACAATGACATCTTGTTTTAATTCTTCAGGTGACTTTTTCTGACGGTTTGATTAACAGCGTAGGTGAATCCTTGCTGCTTTCACATGATTCTTGAAGCAGATAATTTAACACCACATGATTCTTAAAGTTAATAGATCATTATAAAAATAAAGTTTTTTGATAAATTTGGAAGGCGAGCAATAATTGTGTCTGCTTCTATATTTTCCAAGTGGTCCTCAAGTTCCTAATGTTCTATTCTATTTCTGTGTGTCTTTCCTTTTTTCTGGTTTTACTGCTGTCTATGCTGTATATAGAATTGTGGGATTGAAGCTTTTTATTCTTATTTAGATTGGTTCAGTAATTATCAATGAAACGGAAATACATTGCTTCAATTTGGTAAGATGATCATTCCATACCATAACTAGGTCACATGTCTCTACTGTAAAAAGTTGGATGCCTTTTACAACTTACATGGAGCAGGAATTAAGAAGATAGTAGATCTCTTAGAGTAGTTCTCATAGAGCCAATTGCTTTATCCTGCACAAAACAACCACAAAATTAGAAATAAGTATGTGAAGCTTAGTCTACTTCTCTTTTATTGATCAGATCTACTTGTGAGTCTAATATGACAGATAAGTAATGTATAACTTGTCAGGAACGTTTTGTTATTTATTAAGTTCTGATTCTGATATACCATTTTGACTACCTGTGGGCAACAAGATGCAGACTGGATCACAATGCAAGGAATAATTAACGGTTCATCCCACTATTTGTCTTTACCTCACTATGTTTTAGCATCATTGAGCTTGAATATATCAAGAAGAACCGGGTTCTGTTACCATGCAATGTAAGAATGTCAAGGTGACAGATTGATTACCTGATTCAAACTTCCATTGTAGTTAGTTTCCTCCTCAGAATGCCTAAGCAATCTTCCCTTTTCATCATAGAGAATAAGGCCACTAAACCTTGGTAGCTCACACTTCTCCCCCCTCAGTATAGGCCTTTGCCACACTGCAGACACTGAGTTATGACTCTGCCTTCCAATTTCAACACCATTCCTTTCTAATCCAAGCAGCTTCCTCTGGCTCCCCACATTCTCCTTCCACTTGCATGCCCGGCTCCATCTAACTGACCCCATTAGCACATTTTTCACCGAGATCCAGCTGCACCCCGGCTCTGAGCCTGAGCCTGAGCATTCTGTAGTGCTAGTTTCAGCCTCACCGTCACCAATGTCACCTTCTTGGTGTGCAATTCTGTTCTTCCTTGCCTTCCTTTTGAGCACAACAAATGTGCAGACTGCAGCAAGTGAAAAACATGCAGAGGCTAGTATAAGAAGAGCCCCTTGGGTTGAAAGCTTGAGCTTGTCTTCAAAGTCCCACAAGGCTTCTGCCATGAATGTGTAGAGTTTGCGGGTGTGTAAGGATGTGAAGTGAAGTGAGAGATGAGAGTGAAAAGGAATATATTTGGTGAGTTTGAGAATGGAATATGGAAGAAGAAAAGAAATGAGCATGTGGGGTTGTGAAAGACGCAAGCTTCTCATGAGGGTCCACCGCTAGTTAACATGAGTTGAAATAAGTGCCGTCATTTACATCTGTGGGACATGGCTTGTGTGTTTTTAGCCGTTCAGTGGGTTGAGACCCCTGAGGAATCTCACCGTTCAAAGCTAATAAAGGCTTTACACGGGAACCTTGTCAACCCAACTCAGAAAACTAGATAACGATAATTATTATGAAATTTTTAAAAAACTACTACTAATTCTTATAATGGTTAAGAGGTTGGTATTGGTTTATAGTAAATTGATGAGCCATTGATTTTTATTACTCTCAACGGTGATTTCATCATGCATTATTGTGGCTCCACAACCATAAACTGCAACTGCAGCGGCAATTAATATGCAATGCATCAGTGAGGAGTGAATGATGTTTACTTCTTTATGTCAAAAACACAAGTCAGTCCCAGAAACTTCTTATGGCCCAAGTAAATGAACTTTGGGTGATATATATGCGTTAATAATCCCCCCTCCCCCCTCCAAATAGAGTTGACTCTAATAGAAGAGACTAGTTCCTCACAATATGATGAATCAAAGTTCGAATTTCTACTCGAAGAGGTGTTTATATTTAGTGTTCGATAGTGCCTTAAATAGGATTGCCTTTAATAGGAAAATACCTATGCTTTAACCAAAAAAAAAAAAAAAATCCCCCTCACCCATTTTTGGTCGGTGTTTAGGATCTCTTAAAATAATTCTGTGTTTTAAGAGATAAATTTTTTTATATTTTTAATTTATATAATGCAAAAGTTTTTTTTTTAAATAATCCAAACGGATATTTGAGTGAGAGCTAAAAGTCGATTTGCAAACTTTTAAATGCGAAGCGTTGTTTGGTTAATTTTTTTATTTTAAAATATCCATTTGCAATATTTTTGGATGTTTACTTGCCAAAGAGCTAGTCTATGCTAGTTTTCTTTTTTCTTGAATTTAGAATGCATGCATTGATGGGCTAATATTAGAAGCAAGATCAAATTCATGACTTCTTATTTATAAGAAATTTCATGTCATTAGAATACAAAATCGTTAAATTTTTGAATAATTTTTACTCTTTCAGTTGCATTGCAATGTAAAAGGTGATTTAAATTACATTTTAAACAACTTTTAATTTATCAGATTGGCTTTTCAAAAAAAGTATTCAAACAAAAACTCAGTTATAATTACTAATTGCCAAATTCACTTTTAACAAATGAATTTTTCATAAACGACTTTTACAAGGCAAGACCACCTTCTCACCACCCTTTTTTCTTTTTTTAATAACCTTTTTCTTTGTTTTTTCCCCCTAAAAAACTTGGGTTAATTAAATTCTCATTGGCTCAAGCTGTCCCGCATTCTTTATTTGATAAATAATTTTTTATTTTCAATAAATTCAGACTATTTAAGTTGATTAATTACGTTTTTAAATGAATCATTATCCTTTCACCCTGGTCCAAAAAAATTATCCTTTTAGCAAAAAAATAATCTTTACCTTGTCAAATGTAAAAAAGTCAAAGCTTATTACTGAACAAAGGGTATTTTCCTAGTAAAAATTTAACTAATTTGTCAATTAGAAAAAAAGTCAATTATAATAACTAGTTTCTTTGGTTCTTCTCCTCCTTTTTTAGGCCAACCTCATTTCCTTGCCTTCTTTCATCCTCTGGCCTTCTTGATTCTGATTCTGATCACTGGGGAGAGAATTCTCAAGCTAGGGCTTTTCTCAAATCAACGGTTGAATCTAAGATGACTAAAATCGCCGCATGAGCCCTCAATTCGCTCTCCCTTACAGATTCTGCTCCTGAGAGGTCTGTCATCTTTTCCCTGCATGAGATAGGTATTCTGAAATTCCAAGGTTTTCATTGGCAAGAACGCATTGTTTAATGATTCTTTTAGTGTTACATTGTCTATAGAAATGGGGCGGGCTTTATATTCTATGATATGTATTTTACTTATGTTCCCAAATAGTCGAGTCTGTCGGCTGCATTTCTCATAATTTTCTCACCCTCGTTCTCCTGGGTTGTGGTGGGTCGGGTTTCATTTTGAGCTGCTAGGTTTTATCGGTACTGAAACTGAATGGTTCGGCTATGAATTTCCCTCTACAACTTCGTTAACGTTTCGGGTAAAATTTTACTGATGAAAGGGTCTTAAGCAAAGTATTGAAGGGCAAAGATTGTGGTTTTGTCTAGCGGTTTCATCCCTTGCCCATACTTTTCTGCACTTAGTGAAGCCCCCCCCCCCCTAATTACATTTTTATGATTTCACATCTCTTTTCTTTTCTTTTTTTTTTTTCCTCTGGGCTTTTACTTGGAACTGATTTTTATTTTCAGATTTGAATTTGCATATTTATAGGCTTATTGGTTAAAGTGGGTGTTCTTGGTTTAAACACGACACAGTTATTTGTTTAAACTTCGTAGCTGACTTTTCTGCAGCTTTTGCTTTCGAGAGTGTCCATATATTTCTTGGTGTCTGAATTTTTTGGCATACCATGTCGGGAAGAAATCGTGGACCTCCTCTTCCAATGAAAGGTGCTCCTCATGCTGGACTACCCCCTCCGATGCATGAGCCTCCTTTTGGTGGCAGAGGGCTAGGGCCATTGCCGCACCCAGCTCTACTAGAAGAGATGAGGGAATCACGTTTGGGCCCGAGACCCCTTCCTCCTCACCCTGCTATAATTGAGGAGCGTCTTGCTGGTCAACATCAAGAAATTCAAAGTCTATTAGTGGATAACCAGAGGCTGGCTGCAACCCATGTGGCTCTGAAACAAGAACTGGAAGCAGCCCAGCATGAGCTGCAGAGGATGGCACATTTTGCAGAGTCATTGAGGGTAGATAAGGATGTGCAGATGAGAGAATTGTATGATAAGTCTGTCCGAATGGAGGTGGATCTTCGTGGGGTTGAAGCTATGAGGTCTGAACTTGTTCAGGTTCATTCCGATATTAAGGAGCTTACTGCTGTGAAGCAGGAACTCACTGGTCAGGTTCAACTAATGACACAAGATTTAGGCAGAATGACGGCAGATTTGCAACAGGTCCCTGCTGTGAGGGCAGATATTGAGGCTATGAAACAAGAGTTGCAACGTGCAAGGTAGTCTCTTTGTGTGTTTGTCTTGTATATGATTGAAAACCTTGTGTACCTTTCACTAAAAATGATTTATTGTGTGATTTTTTCCTGGGCTTGTTGGCTTATAGAGCTGCCATTGAGTATGAGAAGAAGGGGTATGCAGAAAACTATGAACATGGTCAGATGATGGAGCAGAAGTTGATCACAATGGCTCGGGAGCTGGAGAAGCTACGTGCTGAGGTTGCTAATGCTGAGAAAAGAGCACGTGCCTCTGCAGCTGTTGGAAACCCAGGTATCTAATGATCAGCTTGTGAAATAGTGATATAGTCTTAACGTGGGCAATCAAGGGATGCAATTTCTTCTATGTGCATGCAGCCACATAGTAATGATGTAATCTTAATCATTATCATCTAACTGTGATAGTGATGTGAAGTGGAATGGGATCTACTTTTTCTTTTGAACATTTTATCATTGTGGTGGTTTTTATAGCCAACTATGACATTCATGCTTGGGCATTTTTTCCCTAATTGACACACCTCATTCAACTTTGTGAATGCTTTCTCAATTGTTTTTTCTATCCTTTGTTTTAACATTATCAGCAGGTCCAGGTTATAATGCAAACTATGGCAGTGCTGAGGTTGGGTATGCTGGAAATGCTTACGCTGTCAACTATGGCATGAATCCTGTAAGTTTGCATTCGCGTCTGAAATTAAGTACACTATGGATGAACAGACTTGAATATTAATTAGCTCAAGATCACTCATGATATGCCAAACTATATTAACTAGCTCAAGATCACTCATGATATGCCAAACTTGAACTTAACCTGAATTAAAGTTGCCATTTATTCTTTAATTTATTTTTTTTTAGGGCCGATTCTTGATTCTTGCTGAGCTTTATAATATTTCTTTAGCTGTGAGCAGAATCCTACCAATTTGAGTGCAACTACTGAATTGATGAGTTGCAATCGGTAATTGTTGGATTTCTCAGTAAAGTTGTCCCATGATTTTAAATACAAAACGTGTATGATGTTTGTTACTGGATTCAAATGTTCAAGTTTGGTGTTCTTGTCCTAAAAATATTCTATTTGGTTGCAAGCTAAATCAGTGTGAACGTATAGTATGGTCTTAAGCTTCGCTATTGAAGAAAAGCCTTGATAAGATTGTGTAACTTACAAATGATTTAATTTTACCCCTAAATGTATCAAGTGGATGTTGGTGGGTGCTTTTATTATGCCTGTTTCATGGGAATATGAGGACCAATTCATTATCTTGCTTAGGTCACTTTGGATATCATTCTTTGCTGGTAAATTTCAGGTACCGTCTGGTGTGGAGAATTACCCTCAGTATGGACCTGGACCTGGCGCTTGGGGTGCATATGACATGCAGCGAGCTCAAGGACACAGATAGATTTTCTCTATCTTGCTAAGCAATCTCATAACTGGTATCTTGGGCTGCAACTTTCTAGATGATTAGTTTAGGGTTTAAGTGGTTTTCTATTCATGAACATCTTGGGATTGTGTCCTTTAGGTGCTTGTTGAAGAGCTGAAGTTGTACTTTATTGAAATTGTTACTAGATTGATCTTGCAGTTACATTATATGATGTTTCTCCATGTTGTCTTCAGTACGATAAGTGTTCTTTGTAGTTTTTGTTGAGGATGTGGCACTCATGCTCATCTTTCTCTTGATCTTTGGCATGAGTTCTTCCTCTAGCCGTTTCTCCTGGAAAATTTAAATTTCCATATTTAAAATCCTTTCTGGATTTAAGAGTTAAAATTTTAACATATGAGCTGCTGTCCCTTTGCATTGCCAAGCCCTTATGGGTTGTGCGTTGCCAAGCCTTTTATGGGTTGTGCGATTCAAGTCTTCAAGTTCCGCCTGGAAATGCAGGGTAACATTCTCTGTTTAATGTCTTTCACTATTTGAATCCTGAAATACAATTAAGTTGGAAACCTATCCCCCTTGCAGCTTTTCATCCATTGCCATATAAATTAAATTGTACAGGTACTTTGGCCTGTTTTCTGTCCCGTACATTACACTGCAAGGTTTAGTTGGAGGCTATGAATTGTTTTTGTTCATGATCATGTGCAAAATAATTCATATTAATACCTAGGGGGACCGTATTTTGGGTTAGTAAAAAATATTCGGGATATGGGGCAATTCTTGAATATGGAGGATCACTATAACTTAATAGTATTGTTGGGTAGAGACCATTTTGAGTAGTGATAGAAAAAAAAGTAACGCCTTTGGTATTGATGCTGAGGCTTTCTATGAAGTTCTTAAAAGCAAGAAGAAAATGGAGAAGGGAAAATAGAAGAGCTGATAAACATAGAGGCGACCTTTCCTAGGCTTTTTACTAAAGGTGATCTAGGATTGCTAAACACGAGGAAATCCTTGGAATGAAATACGATTGAATAAGTAAAAATTTATTGCATCACACTTTTTTTTTTTTTGAGACAATTCTTTTGCAATAACTATTGTCATTTTTCAATTTTGATTGTTATGGGGATTACTTTATCACCGATTCAAAGAGATTGAAGGGAATTGTTGTTATTATCCACTTTCTAATTTCTCTTTTTGTTTGATGTTATATTATAAGAAGATGTGTCATTCTATGCTTTATGATACATAATTTCAAACACAGGCACTTCTTAATTGAAGTGAAGACATTCTTTTGTAAAATGAGGCAGGACTTGGCATTATGTTCTGACTTTATTAAAATACATTCTGCATTCTCATATTCGTGTTAACCAAGCATAGTCTTGCTAATGAAGAATGGAAAAGAAAATTAGGGGCAGTGATAGTAATTATTTGTAAATCAGGGATTTTGAATAAACACATTAATTAGGAACTAGTCTATTGGTTAAAATCTTTTATTTTAAATATCTCTTGTTAGGCTTAATTATTCTTTAGCTAATTATTTTCATATTTTATTTATATCTTGTTAGGAGTTATCTCCTGGGCTTAATTTAAAATCCTCAGCAGTTAAATTCGGCTTATATACAAATCTATTATGAATAAAGTCCAGATTCCCTTTCTAGTCCCCTTCCCCCAATTTTCTTCTATAACCCCCGCTGGGGGGAAAAAAATCCTATTATTTCTATTTTTCTTGCATCGCTGATCAAGTTAGAGAATATAATTTCAAGAAAGTTGTGTACCCACTGAAGAGGTTGTAAAATGTTTCTTGAAATCTAGTTGGTGATTGGGGGTAAGCCTGGGGTTGTAAAATAGTTTGAAAACTAAGATGTTGAGTTGTAGTATGCGATGCTTTCGGAAAGTTTTCTTTCTAAACCCTATTATTTTCGTATTTGATTTGAGTTGTAGTATGTGAGTGTGGGAATAAGGTTACTCAGGCTCGTAGTTGTGAACCTCTCAATTTGTGCGTGTCTGTAGTCAGATTTATGTACATGTTGGCAGCCTGGAAGGAAAGGACAGAACTAAAAGATATCTCTCCTTCCGTTAAATTTTAATAGGCTTT